GTAGTTTTTTAAGAGTTCTCCACACTGCTTTCCATAGGGGTTGAACCAGTTTGCAGCCCCACCAGCAGTGGCTGAGTGTTCCCCTTTCTCCATACCCTCTCCAACATTCGGTATCATTGTTTTCTTGATTTTAGCCAGTGTGACTGGGGTGAGGTGAAATCTTAAAGTGGTTTTAATTTTCATTTTCCTAATTATTAGTGATGTTGACCACATTTAAAGATGTTTCTTATACATCTTTATTTCTTCCTTTTAGAACTCTGTTTAGATCTGTAGCCCATCTTTTAATTGGGTCACTTAATTTCTTGATTCTTTGTTTTTGAGTTCTTTATATATTCTGGACATCAAACCTCTGTCAGATGTGTCACTGGTAAAGATTTTCTCCAATTCTGTGGGTTTTCTCTTCACTTCCTTGGTTGCTTCTTCCTTGGTTGTCTCCTTTGATGTACAGAAGTTTTTTAGTTTAATGAGGTCCCATTTGTTAGTTCTTGCCTTGTTTCCTGTTGTCCGGTTTAGAAAATCTTTTCCTATGCCTATATTTTGCAGGTTTTTCCCAATGATTTCTTCTAATAGTTTCAAAGTTTCAGGCTTTACATTGAGGTCTTTGAGCCATTTGGAGTTGACTTTTGTGTGGCATGAAAGATAGGGGTTTAGTTTCATTCTTCTACAAGTGGAGATCCAGTTTTGCTAACACCATTTGCTGAACATATTGTCTTTCCTCCAGTGAATGTTCTTGGCCCCTTTGTCAAATATCAGGTGGCTGAAATTGCATTTGCTCATATATGGGTCTTCAATTTTGTTCCATTTGTCTATGGGTCTATTTTTGTGCCAGTACCATGTTGTTTTTATGACTATAGCTCTGTAATACAGCTTGAAATCTGGTATAGTAATCCCTCTGGCATTGCTCTTAGTGCTCAGGCTTGTTTTGGCTATTTGAGGTCTTTTGTGCTTCCATGTGAATCTTAGGATAGTTTTTTCCAATTCTGAGAAAAATGTCATGGGGATTTTGATTGGCATTGCATTGAATCTTTTGGTAGGATGGTCATTTTCACAATATGAATTCTTCCAATCCATGAGCATGGGAGGTCTTTCCATCTTCTGATGTCTTCCTCAATTTCTTTAAGATTTAAATTTT